CCCCCCCCCCAATACTAACTTATATAGTGGCACTCATGCCAAACTTCTAACAGTACACAATTCTCTCCTACCTCCAAATGTTACCAAATTGAGATCAGCTACTGGCCACATAACTTTGGCATCTCCGCTCTTTGGAATAGGCACAACTTCTTACCCTTTGTTGTTGCTTTGCTTTTCTTTCTTTCTTTTCTTTTTCTTTTTTTTGCTCTTCTAACGCCATATCCTTTCTATTTTGGAGCCTCTGGGTTTTTTTTACAAAAAAGGTATGCTTTTTAAAAGTAAAAACAAAAACAAAACTTTCTACGTGAAGGTAGACAATGTTGAAATTCTTTTACCCCAAAACCTATTTCATACCATAGACTTGTATTTTATCAATTAGTCTCTGAGAAAGAGCTGTTGAGGAGTGATATAATTCATTTGAAAAAGCAAGATATTTGGGGGGAGGAGCTGTTCGGCCCTGAGTACCCTATAAGACTGGGATCTTGGCAAATTAGGACCCTCACCTTAAAAGAATCTTGTCGCTCTCCTTCCCACCTTCCATGCAAATCTACCAGTCAAACTAATTTTGTTCCCAAATATGCTAAAATCTTAACGTGTGCACAAGGCTGTAGGCTATAAATCCTTGTTCCTGAAATCTCAGCCACGATAAGCGGGTTGGACTTCAACTCCCAGAATTCCCCAGCCAGCTTAAAAGTTACGGAGGTTAAAGGAACATGGCTGAAAATGAACTCTGTATGCATAAAAGGAACGTCGCCAATTTCAATTTCACGGTGCTGGTTTGAGTATGTCTGATTTCGATGGAAAAATGTGTGTGATTTCCGTGTCTGATTTTCACGGGGGGGGAAAAATGCCAATTTGGTGGTTCTACATTTCTGACTTGCCCGTTCCTTAACTTTCTTCCCTTGGTAAACTGACTTGTAAATACCTTTGTGAAGATAAAAAATAATTTGTACTTGACTGTAGGATTGGAAGGATTTGTGTTGTATCTTACCTGAAAGTGTATTAAAGTGTACATTTTTATAACATTCTTGTAACTGTGCGTACCAAAAGTGTGTTTTGTCTCACCTGGCCTCCCTCACTCTGACATTTAGGGGGAGATGGAGCCAAACATCTTGATGAAAGTCTTTTTAATAAATCAGCCATGCCGATCAAAATAGGTCTGTTCTTGCCACCTTATCCTCCTCACGATGTAATTTTTTTCCATTGTCTTGAAACTTTTCTAGCTTTGCAGTGTTAAGGAAAAATAATAATAATCACTCCTAACTGGATATTCCCATATTTCCCCATCAGCCTTGAAGGGTGTTTAAAGAGAAGAATTTTAAACATACAGGTAATCCTCAATTTAGCACCACAACAGAGCCCAGAATTTATGTCGCTAACTGAGAAATTTGTTAGGTGAGTTTTTGTCCTATTTTACGACTTTTCTTGCCACCTTTGTTAAGTGAATCATTGCCGTTGTTGAATTAGTAACACGGTTGTTAAGCGAATCTCGTTTTCCCCATTGACTTTGCTTGCAAGGAAGTCGCAAAAGGGGATTACAAGATCCTGGGGCACTGCAAAGGTCATCAATACGAGCCAGTTGTCAAGCACCTGAATGTTGATCATGTGAGCATGGGGAAGCTGCAACCGGTGGTAAGTGTGAAAAATGGTCACAAGCCCCTTTTTTCCAGTGCCGTTGTAACTTTGAACCATCACTAAACTTTGAACTATTGTAGGTCGATTATTAATTACCTTACTCTCATATTTCCTCATCAGCCTTGGGGGAATGTTTAAAGAGAAGAATTTTTAAAATATACATTTTGGTTCCTCTGTTCCAGTTTGGTTTGTATCCGTTCTTATTCTTTAAAAAGTTTTAAAAATCTCTCTATATAAAAGGGAAATACCACTCACGCATCATCACGAAATCTCCAGAACCGTAAAGCCTACAAACTTGAAATTTGGTACGTATGTTCCTCTTGGCTTCTAGGGGCTTACTAAGAAAGGATTTTTCAAAATGACCATCAGAGCATTTAGAGTATTTCCTATATTATTATTATTATCATTAACACGCTCTGATGCTAAGGAGTTCTACTCCCCCTCCCCACCGGAAAAGAAATCTCTTCCAAATGCAAAACACAAGCAGAGGAGAGGAAGTTCAGTTTCAGTTTCATAGCAGCAAGCAGCCTTAGTACAGAACAGTTGAACTAAGCCACGCCCAGGCTCCTTGCTGTCTCCTTCTTGCTCACACAGCAAATACTTTTTCAGTTTCCAAACAGCCCTCAACTCTCACACGCTGACAGGTCGCTAGCCAGATGAATACCGATGGATGCTGGTAGGCAGAGGCACATTTTCCCCCCATTATTTTCCTCACCAAAAACTTGCCCAATCACATAGTTTCATAGCAAAGCACAGGTATCTAGCTAGTACCTAATAAAAAACAGTTCAGGTTTAAAATCTACACGAGAGATTTATGAATGGTGCAATAATCAGAATATTAATTGCAGCTCCTGCTTTTCCTCAGCCTTACTTTCCCCCCCCCTTATTTTCCTTCCCAAAAAGTAAGCCGGACCACATAGTTTCGTAGCAAAGCACGGGTATCCTGCTAGTATATACATGTATATATATATATATATATGGTTGGGGGAGGGAGACCAGGGGGAGCAATAGGTGATGCCCCTTTCGTCTTTGCCCAGCCAGATGTGCGAGATACAGATTAACAGTTGGAAGGGATCTTGTAGGTCATCCAGTCCAGAGGTCTCCAACCTTGGCAACTTTAAGACTTGGGGACTTCAACTCCCAGAATTCCTTCTCCAGTAATATTAGCTCAGGAATTCTGGGAGTTGAAGTCCCCAAGTCTTAAAAGTTGCCAAGGTTGGAGACCCCTGATCTAGTCCAATCCCCCGCCCAAGCAGGGAACCCGACACCATTCCCACAGCCGGCGCTTCCCAGATGTGCTGCATTCCCACGCTCCCAACATTCCCTTTTCCCGACCCCAACCCACCCAAAGCTCCCCTCCCACCCCTCCAAGAGCCGGCCAAGGCATTTGCAAAGGCGCCCCGGAGCTCCACCCGCCCAGAGGCGGAGCGCTTGGGTTGCAATTCGCTCGCAACGCCGGGGGTGGGAGGAGGAGGAGGAGGAGCCGGTGGCCGAGGCGGCGCCTGGCCGGCCGGCCTTCCTTCCTTCCTTCCGCGCACGTGGGTAGAGGGGGGGCGAAACCTCTGGAGTTTGGACGGACCCCATGGCGGAGGCTGCGGTGCGAGAAGCCGAAGCCCGGCTGGCCGCCTGCTTGGAGGAGACGCTGGGCAGCCGCCGAGGCGCCAACCGCGTCTTTGAGATCCTGGAGTTTCTGCAGGTGGGCGCAAGGCAGCGCGGCGGGGGACGCAATCGTCTCCGTCCCTTGGAAGGGTGTGTGTGTTTGTACGCACATGCAGTAGGGTCCTTGAAAGGATGTGTGTGTGGTATGCGCATGCAATAGTCTCGGGCTCTTGGAAGGGTGTGTGTGTGTGTGTGTTCGCACATGCAATAGGGTCCTTGAAAGGATGTGTGTGTGTGTGTGTGTGTGTGTTATGCGCATGCAATAGTCTCGGGCTCTTGGAAGGGTGTGTGTGTGTGTGTGTTCGCACATGCAATAGGGTCCTTGAAAGGATGTGTGTGTGTGTGTGTGTGTGTGTTATGCGCATGCAATAGTCTCGGGCTCTTGGAAGGGTGTGTGTGGGTGTGTGTTGTTCGCACATGCAATAGTCCAGGGCTCTTTGAAGGGGGGGTGTGGGTGTGTGTTTGTACGCACATGCAATAGGGTCCTTGAAATGTGTGTGTGTGTGTGTGTTATGCGCCTGCAATAGTCTCGGGGCCCTTGGAAAAATGTGTGGGTGGGTGTTTGTACACACATGCAATAGGGTCTTTGAAAGGATGTGTGTGTGTGTGTGGTATGCGCATGCAATAGTCTCGGGCCCTTGGAAGGGTGTGTGTGTGTGTGTGTGTTGTGCTCACATGCAATAGTCTCGGGGCCTTGGAAGAATGTGTGTGTGTGTGTGTGTGTGTTTTGTATGCACATGCAATTGTCTCGGGCCCTTGGAAGGCTTTGCGTATGTGTGTGTTTGC